AGGGCTTGCACCACCTTGAACGACACAGCCCAGTAGACTCCCACCACCTCCCTCTGCGTGAGCCAAGTTCAGCCCAACCAAATGAGAGCACTAACTGAAACCAGTAGTTTCCTCTCCTGCTGCAGCCCCATCAGTAGCCACAGCCAGTCAGCAGGCAGGAGCTCAACCTCTCCTGCAACTCCACCAGGATTCTGTTTAAAACATACATGTGGGGATATGTTTGAAGGAATTTTCCTATTCTCCCTGTAAATTTTAGGCCTGTTATCTGCTGACAGGTTTGTTACACAAAAATATCCCACCGCCATACTAGGGAATCCCTGCAAGCCCTGGTGCATATAAGAGAAGTGGGAATTCAGAGTTTCTTTTCTCTGGTTTAGCAAGGAATCAAGAGAAAAAAGAAGCAAAGAGAGGACAGATCAGACCTAGAAGTATTCTTGTAACAACAAGCCAAGTTGCTGCCATCAGAGAAATAAAGGAAGAAGATACCTTTTTAATACAAAGGTCCTAACTGCCCTGCTCCACAGCATGGCAAGCCCAGATTGTCATCCCTCCCCCATCAAATACAGGGGGTACAGCCGCAGGGGAGAGCCGGTCTCGCGCTCACACTGGGTGCTGGGGAGCTGACAGACCTGAGGAACCAACACGGAAGGCCACCCACACCCTGACGAACCCTGTCACTTTGCCCAGCACTTCTCAGCAATTGAGAACGTCACTGGCTTCAGACTGTCTCTGCCTCGAGGCTCTGATCGCTGTCCCCCGTGCAAGGCCGCTCAGTTCAAACAACAGGTTTTGCAGCTCAGGAGCACCCAGGGCGGCTCCGAAATGTCCTTCAGCCCCACGGCAGCCTAAACACACACTCCCCCACAGGAGCACTCTGCCCAGAACCAAATACCCTGCTCAGAGGAGACGGAGGAGGGACAGCCAAGGGCCTGGGAAGAGGCAGGATGAAGGCCTGATGCTACTAATAAAGGACACTTTCTGAGGAAACTTACTTAATATCCTTGTTCCACTGCAGGGTGGAATCTGGAGCCTGCTTACGGGAAACAGCACCAGTAAAGGGGAAGAAAGAGGCTGAAATCAGCCTCAGGCTGACCTTCAGACTCACTTTCTCCTCCCCCATCTGCATCTATTTTCCTGTCTCCCTTCTCACAGCATAGAGAGGACCCATTCTAGTCCCACACCCCCGCCATCTTTGAAATCACTCCCACCTCAATGATCTGGGGGCTGTTCCCTCGCACAGCATAGTGGAAAACCGTCTCCCCGTTCCTGTCGGTAATGTCCACCCGCGCATGGCACTCCAGCAGCTCCAGCAGGCACTCCATGTCTCCCTTGCGGCACGCCAGGTGCAGCGGGGTGCAGCCATCCTCACTGTCCGTGCTGTTCACGCAGCTGCAAGAGATGACTCAAGGTGAGGCCAAGGAAGGGCTACAAAGATGAGGATGTGCAGCTGCCCTGGGCGCTGATACAAAGGTACCAGGTCCAGCTGGTGCGAACCAGGAGGTTCATGAAAGCCCAGCCTTTTGCCAGGGAAAGATCACAAGGAAGGGCCACCAAGCAGCCCTGCCACAAACACTCTCCCTGATACACTGCTCCTTTCTCTGTCCCCCCTATGGGAGGCAGCTCCCCCTGCCCAATGGAAGGCAGGAGACAGGTTACAGTCAACAACCTGGAAGAGGTGCTGCCATTAGGGGACTAACTCCTCACTAGTCTCCCCTATCCTCAATGAACTTCCCCGTGGAAAGAGAGCAAGGGCCTGTGGCTGAAAAACATTTCCAGAAAGACAGTCCTACTGTACCTCCCCTCTTGTGGTTTACAAAGTCAGCCACAACCCCCTCCAAAAAGCAGCTCCACAAGGGTTGCAAGAGTCTAAATGGTGCCTCTAGCAAAACACTTCAAGCCTTCAGCTCAAACACCAGAGCTCCAGGCTTTAACATCCACACCAGCAGGTTGAAAGCTTCACAGTAAGCTTACACAGCGACCATCAGACACCCTTTGCTACCACATCTGTCATTCAGGCCACGCACACCAAGGCCGGCACTCTTTAAACTTGACCTCTGCAGCAACCACGGGTGTTAAGCTCCCCCAGGAAGCAGCCCCCGTTGCTTTGGTACATCAAGCCTGGACAAGCAAATCTGGCCTAGCCTGCCCTCCTGAGCTCGTTCCCAGCACCAGGCCCACCAGAGACCCTTCCCATCCCTTGCCTCAGAACATGGTTGTGCCGGAAGCTCTCACGATGGCCAAACTCCACCGCGACATGTGCTGAGGACCAGCTGGGGTGGTTGCGGAAGCAGTCACTGAGCTGCTGGAGATCCTCCAGCGACAAGGGCTGGTACGAGCTCTCGTAGAAAGGGCGCAGCTGCCTCGCGTACTGCTCAAAACGCACCAGGGCATCTGCTTCATTGTCGAGCTGGAAGAGCCTGGAGGAAAGGCAAACACAATATTGGTCCTGCTCAAAGGAACAACTTCCATCCCACGTATCTGAGAGAAACACTTCTTCTTCAGATATTACTGCTGGGGACTTTCCCATTCCTCCTCATCTGCTGTCATGTTCATTCCAAGGGAAGAGGGGAGCCTACTTCACTAGCAGAGAGCATCTCCTCTTCCTGAGGAACGTTAACTTTTGGGCTCAAGTATCCTGTGCTCCAGATGCTAACGCAGCAACGAGTACGAGTGGAAGTGCACGTACCTGGGGATGTTCTGACCCAAGCACCTGTGAAATCACAGTTGCCTGTTTTTACAGTGTTTAGGCTCTGTCCTGCCCTCTTCTCACAAGGGCATTGTTTTGACAACTCCTCCACCAGCACGCGCCGAGGGCCTCCCGCTCCTCACGAGCCCCCCTGCTGACCTGAAGCGTTGGCACTCCACCCCGCACCCACAGCCGCAAAGGGCTACGGTCCCGAGATGGGAAATTTCGGGTCTTTAGCTTCACACGCTTGAGGAGTGATTGCTGAAGGTCTGTCACTTACCGGAAAGCGACCTGCGGGCTCTGGGGATTCACCAGCAGGCAATCCCAGGAGCGAGAGAGGCCGTTCTTATACAGGGCCACCCTGCCTTCCTCCCTCAGGCAGGTGTGAGCGGCATACTCCGCAGCCGGCACCTCCTTCACCCGGTAAGGGTTTGTGAATATTTGGGTGATGCTGTTGACGGTATTCACCAGCCGGCCAAAGAACTGCATCTTGCTGGAGCCTCAGGCGGCTTCTCCGCCGCGTCCTGAGGGAAACCCGGTCACAGGCTCCGCCCGGCCCGGCCCTGCCCCTGCCCTTCCCTGAACTTCCCGACCCGGCGCCGGGGAAGCAGCACCGAGAG